GGCAGTTGTATCGCCAACAGCATATGCAGGAATAACTTCTGTGAAGAATCCTGCACTGACACCTGTCGGATATAATCCAACGCCCTTCGTGGTATTAGCCAGGGGAGTAGTTGTTTTATGATAGGTGTCAGTCTATTAACCTACTGTGTATGGAGTTGAGACTTGCCTGAACGAATTGTTCTTAGATAATTTGAGTACCTATTTCATTCACCTCACTACCACAAATACATTTATGAGAAGTACAAATATCTAAACCCAATCTGAGTCCAAAGGCTACTACCCTGAAAGTATCATTATCTAGTATTCTTCCCAGATTAGCAACATGTAATGTATTCAACCAAGCACCAGATTCTTCAATATTGACGGTTTTGAGGCAAGCCATTTTCCGAGGGAGATGACAAAGATGAAGTGATGGAGTTAGATGCAATTAGAAATTGCATTTTACTAGAATTAAAGGTTCGTCCCATGCTTTCTGAAGTGATTTGAATTCCTAGGGACATGACTTTTGGTATGAGAACACCAAATAGATTCGCTTTCGATGGTTAAATTATCTTGGTGAAGGAGACTGGAAGTATCATTTCTATCAATTGCGAAACATTGTTGGTGGGAGACATAAATGCTGGTAAAGTCAGCGATGATGCTGAGCGCAGACCCACTCCTCCACGATTCACAGGCAATGTTGCTTGATACCAAGAAATATCGGTGAAGCAGCTGTTGGTAACATTTTCAATTATGTTGTATAGGTGATCATCAAACTTCTTAAGGTATACTTGACTTTTCCAACAAGGAGAACATCTTAGAGTGAGTATAGAGTAGTTTAGGAATGGCTAAACAATTTTTCAATAAAAAAAAGAAGTGTGCATTGGCAAATCGTATATAGTTAGAGGGGCGCCAAATAGTAGATAGTTGTCCTGAAAATCTAGTGGAGAAAATTGAATTGGATAATCAAGGAAACATTTGCTACATGAATAGCATTTTACAAGTGTTGTTCATGACGAAAAATTTCAAGAACGAAGTTTAAATGATGAACGAGGACGGGAATGTTTCCTACTTATTCATCAAACTCAAACACTTGTTCATGCTCTGCAGTTTCGCAAGAAGGTATCACCTTTCCCTTTAACCGATTTCCTGGAGTATTTGAAGTCCACCAGATACTCGTTAGGACAACAAGAGGATTGTCCCGAATTCTTGGGGTTCTTGTTGAATACTCTTCGTGAGCAAAACAATAGCAAAATCAATATTCTTGACCGCTCTGGACTGAATGATTCCGTACAGCCCATCTCGTCTTGTGTTTGTAAATCTTTTGCTGGAAAAATCCTCACTTGTTTACTTTGTGGTAAATGTTCAAGAAGTAGCGAAAACTTATGTGAATTTCTGGAACTTCATCTAGCTTTTCCTAATAGGACTAATAACCAGTCCGTACAAAGCTTATTGTTAAATCATCTGAAAATGGAATTTTTAACAGGTGATGATCGACTGTATTGTCAAACTGCGCCAAACTAACTGACTGTTATAAGGAAACAAGTTTAGCTGAGGCACCAATCAATCTAATAATAACACTGATGATTTTCAAACAAGACTCAACCTCTAACAGAAGCAAGAAACTCTTTGGAAGGTTCGAAATAGATGAACATTTCAACCTAGCAGACCACTATCATAATATTCATGCAGTCATTGTTCACTGTGGTTTTGGCGTTCAATTTGGTCAAAGACGAAACGGACTGGTTTAAGTTTGACGATAGTCGTGTCACGAAGTGTTCTGGCGATGCATTGAATTTATTGGAGCCTCTGGAGATACCCTACATTTTGTTTTATAAGAGAGAGGACATTGTTAGATTAAGATCTTCAGATGATGTTCGAGACTAATTTGTTTTGAACTGTCAATTATTATCTCAAAATCCTTCAATATTACCTTGTTGGACACCTTTCTGAGATTCAAAAAAATTTTCACCAAAATTCAAACACCTTGGTACTCTGTAGCATTCATATATAGCAAAGACTCTTGTGACCGTTGTAACATAAAATTTCTGTCAATCATGTTGAAGGCGTTTTTAAAATCCAACTTGAGAAACATTTTTCGTCACGAATTTGGATGTTGATGGATATATCGGCGTGATGCATGGACGACCGCTTCGCATCCTCCAGGAGTACCAAACCCAAATTGAAAGCGACGCAAAAGGGACCCAAGGTCTTCTTTATTCCGAGAACAACCTAGTTTGGCCACTAACCGGCGGAAGAAAGTACCGATGCCAAAGGGGCGTATTCCTCCGTCTCTCTTTTTGAGAGCACAGAGAGGTGCACCGTGAAGTATTGGACAAATCTCTTGATTAACTCTCCCAGATAATAAGAGATTACAAAGATTTGTCATAGAAGCAACCAGTTTATCTCTAGAATTAGCAGCACTATAACTAAGAAGGTCTTGTATGCGACTTGGGCGAAAGCCATCAAGTCCTCCAGCTGATCTAGTGCGGAACTCTTTCACTGTTGCAAGTATAAGTTGTTCAGGAACTTGGAACGTTGAATTGCTTGTTTGATCAAGGTTCAGATGCATTTGACATTGAGTTGGTTTGGAGATGTTTAAGAATGAGCTTCGATAAAATATCATTGTCATAATCAGAGAGAGTATCATTAGAACTAAGAAACTTAATAGCAGATGTTATTAACATTTCCTACACAAGACACGAGGCTAATGACCAATGTAATCGATGCCGATGACACCAAGAAACAAAAAAGATGAAATATCGCCCTCCTCAACCTCATTCAAAATAATTTTTGAAATGTTTCCTTTGAATCGTTTGGCAATCGCTGGCGATATAGTAAATGATTCGTTATTCACGTTTTGATGTTCCTCTTTATCAATGTTGTTGAAGATATTTTTCTCTTCTCTTTCGAATATTGTATAGGAAGAACCCTAAATGTGGAAGTAAGTAGATTTTCGAACTGCAAAAGGAGTTCTACATTACCCATTCATCGATGGCTTCAGATAAGACGGATGCTACGCAAATTCTAGCTGATCTGGGGATTCTTCTCACAATATTAGTGGAGTTCTTTAAAGCAGCTAATCTTTTGAACAATGATAATGTAACTTGTCCTGTTTTATTCGGGTCATTGCTGAAATTTACAATTTACAAATCCTTCGACATCAAAATGCTATTTTCTGAATTTGACATTGATGTTTCGCGAATTTTTCTATGATGAATTTTGAAGCCGGTTTTTGATCTGAATGATTTATGGCAAGTTGTACAAACATTGTCCATGTCGTATGATTTTTTCAGTTCATCATCACAAGTGGCATCCATCCAAATTATTAAAAATAGGTCTGGTTAGAATTGAAAACTTGGACTTAACCTGAATGACAACTTTTTTCCTGTTCCCTCCCAATTTTCAATACGATTTTTGTTCGAATAATAATGATTACTCATATCATAGGTAATGACATTATCACAATGGTATATCCCAGACATCTGATCATAAACAACATATTATCAAAATATTCCATGGAACCAAATTTGCGGTTGATGCATTACCAAAATGCTTCATGATTTAGCTTTATAGTTGGTAGTTACATACATTTAATGGAAATCAAATATTAGTACAAAATGAATCCTATAATAGATACAAATAATCATCGATTGAATTTTTCAAAATTTCAATGTAACGTAAAACCCTGAAATAAATTCTCATTTAGAAGACCATAATACTGAGATCCTAGAGTGACTAATCAAGGGTTAGTATATAAAAAAGAGAAAGATGAGAGTACGAGACTAGGAGACTTGAGTTCCTCACGTCAATCAGAATGTGAATAATCCATTCCTGAACAACAAGGTTATCAGTGTTCACTTAGAACTGAACAGCGCAAGAAAAAAGCCAGACGTGAATTGGAGGGGTCAGATAGATTACGACCCCATCGTCGAGTCATTTAACTTCAGTTTCGAGTGGTGAAGTTCTTTTGAAAATGGCTAAGCAAAAGCCGAACAGATGAAAACTACAGACTCTTAGCTTATAAACTCCA